GTACAGAGCTTTTTTTAATTTTTTTTTACGATGTATGTATTTGCCTTGAAAGAGTTACAGAGGGACAGAGGCAGACAGAGAGAGAGAGGCCTTCCATCTGCTGGTTCACTCCCCAGATGGCTACAACAGCCAGGGCTGTGCCGATTTCCAAGCCAAGAGCCAAGAGCTTTTTCTGGGTCTCCCACATGGGTGCAGGGGCCCAAGGACTTGGGCCATCTCCTGCTTTCCCAGGCCATAGCAGAGTGGAGCAGCCGGGACACTAATCGGCGCCCATGTGGGATGTGGTCGGTGCCGCAGAGGCTTAGCCTACTGTGCCGCAGCGCCGGCCCCGAAAGGGAGTCTTGTATCCAAGGCCGGGAGAGCCTGAAGTCGAAGTGATCATGTCTTTGGAGAGAGACCCAGCGGAAGAGGTGATGTTCCTGGGTCCCAAGGAATTAATGAGTGTTTGCTTGTAAGTGGAGAAGAGAGGGTGGAGCTGGTCATGGGAGGGCGAGGAGGGCTGAGAATCTAGGGCTGGTCACTGCATTTAGAGATGCTAATGCAGTCACCTGTCTGCACGGTGTCAGGCGCTGGGGCACAGGGTGGACAGAAGGGCCCCATTTCTCAAGGGGCCGAGAGGGAAAATGGTAGGATCTGATGGGATGGGTATCAACTGAGGTATATTGCAATAGCTCACTTAGGCTGTGCTAGAGATCTTAGACGTTATCTCACAGGCAGTGGTTTTTGGTTTTGTATTATTGTAAAAATGTGTTTAGAGCTGTAAGCATTGTCGCCATTTGAAGGTCTATAGTTCAGTATCATTAAGCACGTCACATTGTGGTACAGCCATCACTACCTTTCACCTCCAGAATCTCTTCTTCCCCAGCCGGGACCCTGCAAGCTTTAAACAGAAACTACCTCCCGCCTGCCCGCAGCCGCCATTCCACTTTCTGCCTCGGTGACTTTGGCCTTTAGTGACCTCAGAAAAGTGGTGTTGACTAAAATAATCAGAATCTGGTTGAAATTGAAGTTTGAATTTATTCAACAAGTCAGACTAAGCATTTGAACCCAGAAAGAGCTGATCAGTTGCCCGAGTTGGCTGTTCCACAGCCCAAGTTTGGTTATAGGTTTTATACTTTTTTTTGTTTTTGCTTTTTACAGGCTGAGTACATTTATTGAATGAGGTTTAAATAAGATAAATTTATGTATGACTGTTAATCACATTGAACTTCTGGTAATAGTTAACAGACTTGATTATTGCTTAAGGAGGTACATTACATTTTCAGACCCATTCCCACACAACTGTATTCATATTGTCAATCCCTCTTCCCACAACAGTGGCCCTAAAATGTAATGCTTACTCCTTCTTAAGGCACAGTAGATGTTTCCCTGGTCAAGGCTAAAGTTTGTTGAAAGGCCATGTTACCAGGAAACCAGCTGCAGGGCATCTCCATGGCACTGACCGCTTCCTGGCTGACCCAGGCCTCTGCAGTTACCATCCTACTGTGTGTGTGTGTGTGTGTGTGTTTTTTTAAGATTTATTTATTTATTTGAAAAGCAGAGTTGCAGAACAAGCAATCTTCGATCCGCTAGTTCACTCCCCAAATGGCTGCAACAGTGGGAGCTGGGCTGACCCTAAGCCAGGAGCTTTTTCCTGGTCTCCCACATGGATACAGAGGCCCAGGACTTGGGCCATCTTCTGCTGTTTTCCCAAGTGCATTAGCAGGGAGCTAGATTGGAAGTAGAGCAGCCAGGATTCAAACCGGTGCCATATGGGATGCTGGCATCACAGGCAGCAGCTTTACCCACTATGCCACAGCGCCGGGCCTCCATCCTACTCTTAAGTCCACAGTGGAATCACACACCATTTGATTGTGATTTATTTCACTTAGCATAATAATAATAATTTATTTCACTTAGCATAATATCTTCAAGGTTCCTCTGTGTTGCAGCATGTGTCGTAATTTTCCTTTTAAGACTGAAAAATAGGCCGGCGCTGCGGCTCAATAGGCTAATCCTCCACCTAGTGGCGCCAGCACACTGGGTTCTAGTCCCGGTCAGGGCGCCGGATTCTGTCCCGGTTGCCCCTCTTCCAGGCCAGCTCTCTGCTGTGGCCAGGGAGTGCAGTGGAGGATGGCCCAGGTGCTTGGGCCCTGCACCCCGTGGGAGACCAGAAGCACCTGGCTCCTGCCTTCAGATCAGCGCGGTGTGCCGGCTGCAGCGGCCATTGGAGGGTGAACCAACGGCAAAAGGAAGACCTTTCTCTCTGTCTCTCTCTCTCACTGTCCACTCTGCCTGTCAAAAAAAAAAAAAAGACTGAAAAATATCCCATAATATGTATGTACCACATTTTGTGTACCCCTTTGTTGATGATTGGTTAGGCTGTTCCCACCTTCCGGCATTTGTGAATAATGTTGCTGTGAGCATGTGTACAGGTAGCGGTTCGAGTCCTGCTTTCCCTTCCTTTGGTCACAGGACAATGTTGTAGCAGGTATTTCATCAGCCAGGATTTTTTGTTGTTGTTGTTGTTAGTAGCAGCATCACAGGATGATGATGTTGGTTTATTTGTTTCTCCAAACCAAAAAATAAAACAATATTGCATATATGGATATGCCTTGTCAGAACTCCCAAGGATTTACCCTCCTGGTATGAGAGAGAGAGTGTGTGTGTGTGTGTGTGTGACTTCCTCAACAAGAATCATGGCTATTGGTGGTGACAATTCAATGAACTCTTGATTTTTTTTTTCAGAAATAGTTCATTCTGTAAATAGGAAAAATTATTTTTTAAAAAGATTTTATTTATGGGGCTGGCACTATGGTGTAGTGGGTAAAACCGGCACCTGCAGTGCCGGCATCCCATATGGGTGCCGGTTCGAGACCCAGCTGCTCCACTTCCGATCCAGCTTTCTTCTCTGGCCTGGGATAGCAATGGAAGATGGCCCAAGCCCTTGGGCCCCTGCATCTACGTGGGAGACCCAGAGGAAGCTCCTGGCTGCTGACTTCGGATCAGTGCAGCTCCGGCCATTGCAGCCAATTGGGGAATAAACCAGCGGCTGGAAGACCTCTCTTCTCTCTCTGTGTAACTCTGACTTTCAAAGTAAATAAATAAATTTTAAAAAAAGATTTTATTTATTTGAAAGGCAGAGTTACAGAGGCAGAGAGAGAGAGGTCTTCCATCTGCTGGTTCATTCGCCAAATGACCTCAATGGCTGGAGCTGGGCCCATCCGAAGCCAGGAGCCTGGAGTTTCTTCCAGATCTCCCACATGGATGCAGGGCCTGAGGCCAGAGCGGAGAGCTGGATTGGAAGTGGAGCCTCTGGGACTAAAACTGGTGCCCGTATGGGATGCCGGCACTGCAGGCGGAGGCTTCACCCACTGTGCCATAGCGCTGGCCCCTAGGAAAAATGAATTTTCAAAATCATGTACAATCCTACCATGATGACCTGTGAAATCACAATTTATGTTTTATGCGTAAACTGTATTTTTTCATATGTAGACACTCATGTATTTTTTGCCAGAGCATACTCAGATACTTAAAGCTTTTTATATACACGTGCATATACATTACTAGAAAAAATAAAATAGGCTAACGCATAAACAGGTAATTTACTGAAAACATGGCCAGTAAACCCTTGCAGCAGTATTCAACCTTGCATGTACTTAAAGCTATACACATTGCAGTGGTCTGGATCTGGCCTTGTGGTGCAGCAAGTTAAGCTGCTGCTTATGATGCCAGTGTCTCATATTGGAGCACTGGTTTGAGTTCCAGCCTCCTGCTACTGTGCTTGGAAGACAGTGAATGCCCTGGGTAACTGGGCCCCTCCTGCCCACGTGGGAGACAAGAGTGGAGTTCTGACTTCTGGCTGTTGCCAACATTTGAGCAGTCAGTCAGAGGATGGAAAATCTCTCTCTCCTCTCTCTCTCTCTCTCTGCCTTTCAAATAAGCCTTTAAAAAATTGCTGTGGTTTGAATAGGATACAGCTTCAAGCTCCTGTAGATATTTAATCCCCAAAGTCATAAGTTAATGGTCCTAAGAGAGTGGACACTTAATCCAGTTACAGTGTTTGGGAGGTAGGCCTAATGGGAGTTCCTCAGGTCAGTGGGGGCATGCCCTTGGAAGATAGTTCTTGCCAGAGGATTAGTTAAAAGTGCTGAGCTGGGCCTAGCTCTTCCCCTCTGCTTCCTGGCTTGCCACATGATCTCTCCTCCCCACTGCCAACCTCCAGCCTCATCAGATCTGTGAGGCCCATCTGATCTTGGACTGTGATCCTCCAAAAGCATGCCCCAAAATAAACCACCTTCCTTCATAAGTAGTTTGTCTTAGGTATTTGTTATTTTTATTTATTTATTTGACAGAGTTAGACTGTGAGAGAGAGAGAGACAGAGAGAAAAGTCTTCCTTCCATTGGTTCACCCCCCAAATAGCCACTACAGCTGGAGCTATGCCTATCCGAAGCCAGGAGCCAGGAGTCTCTTCCTGGTCTCCCATGCAGGTGCAGGGCCCAAGCACTTGGGCCATCCTCTGCTGCCTTCCCGGGCCACAGAAGAGAGCTGGACTGGAAGAGGAGCAGCTGGGACTAGAACCCGGTGCCCATATGGGATGCTGGCGCTGCAGGCAGAGGATTAACCAAGTGAGCCACGGCGCCGGCCCAGGTATTTGTTATAGTGACAAAGAGCTGACTGATAAAATTGGTACTGGGGAGCAGAGTCGTTATTAACTGTGCCTTTGGGATTGGTTTACTGGAAAAGGTTGGAAGAATTTGGAAGAGAGATAGCCTGGAGTGCTGTAAGCAGAGTGTTGCAGGTGATTCTGCTGAGGGCTTGTCATGGGATGGTTGGGCCTAGGTTCTTGTCTTGATGCAAGAAGGAATAAAAATGAGATATGGATAAAGGTTAGGCAAGGAATAAGATTTATTAGCAAAGTGAAAGTGTGCTCAAGGAGTGCAGGCACACTTAGAGGTGAGCTGCGCCCCACCAGGGTCAGGGGCATTCCTTTATGTGATCCAGACACACAGTTCTTGTCGCTTTGGGCGGACTGTCCCAGCAAAGTGCAGATATCCAGGGATTTAGTGACTGCCCATTTTCTGGCCTTTTTAGGAAGTCTTAAAAGTGTCATGGTATTGGGTACATGATGGGAATAAGAGTATCAGCATGGTAATCTTATTATAATGATATTATAACAAGTTGTAGGTCACCTGGGGATTCCGTCAGCGGCCATGTGCTAATGGACAAGGCAGTAGGAGAGAGACCCTGGTGACGTTTCAGATGTCATCAGGGCTGCCCCTTTCTGGAAGGGCAGCGTTGTTCTTGTCTCACTTAAGATTTGTTTCCCTGTGTTCAGCTGGCAAAGCACTCTGGGCTGTAGTTGTGCTTCAGGTGGGTCCAGGTGCAGCCCCTGCTGGCTGTAGACTTTGGTGTTGTCCATGTAATTCTGGTTCTTGCAGCCATGCAGAGTGCAGGAGTTAGGGGGTCTTTGCACCTTCCACTGAGATTTCAAAAGAAAGCCTGAAAAGTCAGTTGTGCTGCAGGGGTTGGAGCCGTGTGTGGAGAAACTGACGGGGTAATGCCACGGTGAAGACCTCAGGTAGCTGGAGGGTGCTGGCAGCTGAGTCACCTGCGAATGAAAGCTGTGAGCAGTGCACTGGGCAAGCCTGGGAAGGCTGCAGGCGTTAGCGGCAGCCTCGGGGAGCAGCTGTGCGGATAGCGACCAGCAGGCCACGGAGCACGGAGGCTTCCACTTCGATTCAGACAGGTGCTGGGGGTGCACAGGTAGACACTGTAGAGCCACAGCAGAAAGCCTCAGCTAGGGCAGTGTCAAGCAGAAATGTGGGATCAGAGCTGCTGCAGAGCCCCCACCAGGGTGCTTCCTAGTGGAGGGGCAGGGGTGCCCAAACCATGGGGAGCCCATCCCCTGCCACAGCGTATCCAGATGCTGGACGTGCAGCTTTAGGATTTAATGCCTGCCCTGGGGATTCCAATCTTTTTTTTTTTTTTTTTTTAAGATTTATTTATTCATTTGAAAGGCAGAGTTACAGAGAGAGGAGGGACACTAAGAGAGAGATCTTCCATCCACTGTGACCACAAAGGCCAGGGCTGGGCCAGACCAGAGCCAGGAGCTTCATCTGGGTCTCCCACATGGGTGCGGGGGTCCATGCACTTGGCCATCTTCTGGTGCTTTCCCGGGTGCATCAGCAGAGAGGTGGATCAGAAGTAGAGCAGCTGGGACTTGACCCAGTGTGCATAGGGGATGCTGGTGCTGCAGACAGCAGGTTTAACCCGCTGTGTCATGGCACCGATCCTGGGTCTCAGTCTTGTTTTGGACCAGTTCTTCCTTTCCATTTCCCTGTCACTTCCTTTTGGAATGGGAATGTTTACCCTGTGCCTCTTCACTATTGTGTCTTGGAAATATGTGACTTGTTTTTGATTTTACGGGGGCTCACATGAGACTTTGGACTTTTGAATTTGTGTTGGACTGAGTTAACACTTGGAACAATTGAAGATGAGATGAGTGTATGTTGTATGTGAGAAAGACATAAGTTTCAGGAAGCTGGGATAGAATGTTTGGTATGAATAGGCCGTGATCACTAACTTCTGTAGCTGTTTAATCCCTAAACCTATAAATCAATGATACCAAGAGACTGGAAACTTAACCCGATTATGGTGTTTGGGAAGTGGACCTAGTGTGAGATCCTTAGCTTCCTGGGGGCATGTCCTTGTCAGGCAGTTCTTGTCAGAGGGTTGGTGTTTTTTTTTTTTTTCTTTCTTATTTTAAAGAGTTTATTTATTTATTTGAGAAGGAGAGACAGAGAGAAAGATCTTCCATCTGCTGGTTCACTCCCCAGATGGCTGCAACGGCCAAAGCTGGGCCGATCTGAAACCAGGAGCCAGGAGCTTCTTCCAGGTCTCCTACGTGGGTGCAGGGGCCCAAGTGCTTGGGCCATCTTCTACTGCTTTCTAAGGCCTTAGCAGAGAGCTGGATCAGAAGAGGAACAGCCGGGGCTAGAACCAGTGCCCCTATGGAATATTGGCACCATAGGCAGAGGATTAACCTACTGTGCTACAGTGCCAGCCCCGCGAGCGTTGGTTTTAAAAGCCGAGTTGGGCCTGCCACTCTCTGTGCTTCCTGACTTACCATGAGATCCTTTAGACAAGGCTGAACCAGGAGAGCCCACGTGATCTTGGACTATGAACCTCCAAACTGAGCCAAGCTGCACCTCCTTCCTTCTTAAGTAATTTGTTTTAAATATTTATTATAGTGACAAAAATATGAACAATACGCAGACCATCCTAGTATAGGAATCAGAACAAGGACTTTGACCTTAAGTGAGTTTAAGTCTGGGTCTGTCCTATCTTAACTTTATGACCTTGGACAAGTTGCATGACCTTTAAACTTCAGTTTTCCTCTGCAAAATACAGGTAATGAGGACATGTGGGGTTATTGTGAAAATTGAATTTGATGAAACATACGAAGTGCCTGGTTGACAGTAAACACTGCATCCTACCTGGACTCAGGACAAGACACTTCCCTGTGGAGAGGAAGTGGTTAGTCCATACAGCTTCACCTGCTTGCCGGCAGCTCCTGTCCCATGTCCTGACCCCTTTCAGGTCCTCTGGGCCACCCAGTGATTAAAGACCTAGCTGATGTTGGACTGCTGAGAGGCCCTGCAAATTTGGGGGTGAGTTCCACTAGGATATGACTTAGCAGTGACTCAAGGAAACTGTCCCCAAAGGAGTGAATAGGACAGGAAAAAATGCACCTTGGGGCTGTTAATTCATGAAACTTACATAGAGTGCCTGTGTACTGGGCATTAGTACCCTGTTATCAGTCTCACCAAGGAACCTACCTATATTTGCTTACCTGTCTGTAAAATGAAAAAGGGGATTAATTGCATAGCTACTTCTGAGCAAATGCTGTGGTTATGCTACTTAGGTTCAGGAGTTGGGCTAGGAGACTCCCTTGGGTTCTTTCCTTTCATGAATAATCAATGTTTATTCATTCTTTCAATCAGTATTTGTTGATCCTAATATATACCAATGCTATACTGTATCTTAGGGAAATCAGGCACAGGGGATAAAGGCTCTCCTGTGTACTAGAGGAGGCAGGCACAACAAGTAAACTTAAAATGATAACCGGGTGCTGGCAGTGTGGCCTGGTGGGTAAAGCTGCCACTTGTGATGTTGGCATCCCATATGGGTACCAGTTCAAGTCCTAGCTGCTCCACTTCCAAGCCAGTTACTTGCTGGTGTGCCTGGGAAAAGCAGCAGAGGATGGCCCAAGTGTTTGGGCCCCTGCTACCCACGGTGGAGACCTAGATGAAGCTCCTGGCTCCCGGCTTCAGCTTGGATTAGCCCTGGCCATTGCAGCCATTTATGGAGTGAACCAGCAGACTGAAGATCTCTCTGTATTTCCCTTCCTCTCTCTGTAACTCTGATTTCAAATAAATAAATAAATCTTACAAAAAAAAAAAAAAGCACCAAAAAAACTAATAAGCAAAGTAAGCACCAGGGAGAACACTTGGGGACTAACGTCATGTGGCCGTGTCATGGGAATGACCTAGAGGTGTGCAGAAGAAGGCACAGGCCTGGCGGGAGTGCAGGGAACACTGGGTCAGGGAGCCCAGCTCAACATCCTGGGCACGCAGGCTTGGTTTTGGGAGCTGGCAAGAGGGAGTAGGGGGAGACAGATACATTTCAAAGGACCCTAGGATCCTTTGAGTGCTCCACGGCGGGTATGAGCAAAGCACTAGCGAGGCACAGAGGAGGAAGTAGCTAATTCTGCCAGCATGGCTAGTGGGGATAGTTTTTGGTTTTGCTTTGCTTTTTAAGATTGATTGATTGATTGATTGATTGATTTGAAAAGCAGAGCTAGAGAGAGAGAGAGAGAGAGAGAGAGAGAGAGAAATCTTCCATTCTCTGGTTCACTCCCTAAATGGCCACAACAGCCAGGGCTAAGCTAGGCTGAAACCAGGAGCCAGGAACTTCAACTGGGTCTCCCACGTGAGTGCTGGGCCATTTTCCACTGCTTTCCCAGACACATTAGCAGGGAGCTGGATCAGAAGTGGAGCAGCCAGGACTTGAACCAGCGGCAATATGAGATGCCGGCGTCACAGGGAGTGGCTTAATCCTCCATGGCACAGTGCCAGCCCCTAGAGGTGATAGTTAAGGAAGGCTTCACAGAGGAGGTGACATTTAAGCTGGATATTAAAGGGTGAAGAAGAGCTCCACAGATGGGCAGAAGGGTGGAACTGTTGCTGTTAGAGGAAGCAGCGGAGCGAAGATGCCTTTAGAGGCCTCTTCAGAAGGCAGGGAATCCCACGCCGTGTCTCAGAGCGACGGCGGGCGAGGAGTTCGTGGGAGGCGCCGTGAGGGTTTCACAGCACCCAGACTGCTGTCTCCTGCGCAGGCTCCAGGCTTTGAGGTAAGACACTCTCTGCTTTGTGCGTAGGGAGAAGGAAGGTGCACTATTTGTTCCCAGACGGGAAGGAAATGGCTGAAGAATACGACGAGAAGACGAGTGAACTACTTGGTGAGTGACGGGCTCCCCGCTGGCGCTCAGGACATCTGGGGCTGACCTCAGGTGAACCCTCCTGGCCTAGGCCTGAGCGAAGTATCCAGCTCGAAATGGTAGACGCTTAGAGAGCCTGAGGATCTTGAGACAGAATTGTCCCTGAGAATAATCTGGACACCAGAGGCGGAGCAGGAGTCCTTTTGACCAGCGGACCCCATCCCACCGCTTCCCCCAAACAAAGGAGGCCTGAGTAATCTAGGCCAGGAGTCAAGATGTAGAGAAAGCCGGGCAGTACCTGTGCGGCGGGGAGTGAGCCTGCAGGCCGAGGAGGGAAAGGGCAGCCTCTCACTGTGCTTGCTGGCTTGCTTGCTTGCTTGTTTTCTGAAGCCATGCCAGGAGCAAGGATCGGAGGCCGCAGCTTCTGACCTTGCCTCCAAGGTGACCCTCATCCTGAAGAGTGTCTGAATCAGGGGAAGCAGAAGGGTGATTTTGCAGCATTGCATTTTGATTCCTGTAGCTCTTTTCCTCTTAAGAACAGGCTTGTGAATAGGAGCTGCAGCTCAGATTTCTGGGAATTATTTGATTTGTCCATTCTTTGTTCCCGGGTGCACACGTCAGCATTAACTCACTTCCCAGAGCTAGGTGGCTGACTCCTTGACCCAGGGCCTAAAGCTGTCAGCAGTGGGACTTGGCCTCTTTATTAAGTTTCACCTGAAATGCTAAGACCGAGGATGGAATCATGGGCTGGGTTATTTTCTTGTCATTATTCTTGACTTTAATTTCTTCCTGGGCCTGATCGACAGGTAGTGTTGGCGGGGGAGTTTCTTTTTCCCCTTTTCTGACAGCTCATAAATGTCCGGAACCGACAACATGGATTATACTGGTTTGCATTCTCTTAGTCTCCAGTCTTAAAATGTGTGTCCTGCGCATGTTCAGTCGCAGAGTGAAGTGTTGATCCCTCCCTATTATGAGCTGCTTGGGCTCCAGTCCCAATTGGTTTAGTCTGGTGCTATTAAAAATCTTGATGTGTTTAGCATATGACACTGATTCGGTGGAAACCAATACAGTAGTAATATCCTCACAATGCATTGTAATTTATAGTGCTCCCAGGGGGTGACAGCCTTGGAATGCCTAACAGGGGAGAACTTATAAAAGCAGAGGTCACGTGGGCTAACCACCACCATAACTAGGCCAGAGGCTAGCCGCAGCTCCATGCCCCAGCCCTGCTGTCACCTCTTTTCTCCGCCACACAGAGCAAGGAACACAGCGAGAGCTGCTGTGGCTATGAAAGCAAACAAACAAATGCAGGCTTCTTTGTTGTGCTTGGGCATGAAATTAAAATGAAAAGCAAATCCAGACTGCTTCATTTGTCCCAGTGGCCCACTGTCACTTCTCCTGATGACAGGTGGAGAACAGACCATGGCCTCCAAACTCCTTTTTCTTAAAAACCAGAAGTGGAGAAGAACACTGTTTGGCTTAAGTTACTTGATAGTGATATTAATACTCTTACTGGGCACCATGCGAAGTGCCTTACACGAATTCACTCATTTTAATCATCCCTGTTCAAGCTCTAAGAGGTAGGGACTGTTGTCCCCATTTCACAGTTGAAGAAAGCGGAAGCTCAAAGAGGTCCAGCCCCTTGTTCAGCATCACACGGCTAGCTAGTTTCTGAGGCAGGATGTAAGCCTAGCTCTAGTCTTTACAGCGTAACGTTGGGAGTTCAGATTTTTTAAATCCAACTTTCTTTCTTCCTCCCGTATTTTGCTTTTGCCTGGATGGGGACTAGTGGGCACAGACGACACCCTCTGGAGTCACCGGCCGCAGCCTGGAGCAGGGCTGTTTCTTACTTGTCCCCCACCTCCCCCCCGCAGCTGTCCTTGCAAAAACATTGTTCATTATTAATTTCTTAAGTATAAACGATCCCAGGACTTGAGCTGGTTATGCATGTTCTTTGAAGTGAAATACAAACCTGCTTTCTGTGGCCGTAAGTAGGAATGGTTTCCATGTTTCCAATTAATTATACAAATTCGATCATTGGCCAAACTGTTTTTTTGGGTTTTGTTTATTTTTTGTTTGTTAACAAAACTCAAAGCCATTTGCAGAGGAAGAATGGTCGACAGGCGTGCTGCTCCCTGGGACTGGGTTCTTGCAGTCAGCGTTAACAAGCATGTCAGTGTCATATTTTTTCTGTCCTCTCAGTGCTGTTCATTCCCACCCCCACAGTGACTGCTGTATGTATTCATAGAGGAAAAAACCGAAGGGCCCCTAACAATGATCGGAACATCAAACCAGCGTGTCCGGGGGGCAGAGGCTGAAGGGCAGGCCATCCCCCAGCGATTACATTCGGATTACCGGCTTAATCTGCTTTGGTATTTGACCGCCAGCCTGACCACGGCGGGCTGCGTTTGGAGGATATTGAGCACTTTCATCCCCAAGCACTTCACCGGCTTTATAAATGACCCACTCGATTCCCTTCAGCCTCCTCAGGGATGGGACGTGGCAGCTGTTTAATAGCCACATAGCAATGTGCAGTGTTCTAGGGCAGAAAAGAAGAAGCCTGCATCCAGTCGAAGCTGCAGGGAGTATTTAGGAAGGGGGAATGCAATTATCCGCGCTGGAAGTGGGCCAGGGCCCGGAGCTGTGGGGAAAGAGGCCTCGAGGACCTCCACTTCCCAGCCCACCTGAAAGATGGGCCTCCTTCCAGCAGTCTGGCATGTCAGCCTACTTCCTGCTGACTTAGGAAAAGGCCCCCAGGGCTGCCGCCGCCATATTCCCCGGCAGACCCTTCCCAGGGTCCTTGAAAGTCTCATTTCCGGGGAGCGGCCCGGCTGAGCCGGGGAGAGAGGACGGGATCCCGGGGAGCCAGCTGCCTCCTTGCATGCACCAGTCTGGGTTGTACCACATAGCCAGATCAGGAACAAAGATGGGGATGAGAAAGACAAGACTAAGTGTGCTTGTGCCCATGCGCATGGGAAAAGTAAAAAGACTTGGCCAGAATCGCTTCTTGATTCTTAGCTCTTGAGGGAATGGGAAGGGAAATTTTCTTCTGTCCAAACAAGGACTTGAATCCCCAAGGTGTGAAAAGGGAGGAAAAGGGGAAGCTGCCGAGGGCGCCAGGGACGCCCCACTTAACCAGCTCGCAGTTAGGTGGTCCTCGTCAGCATCTTCTTCAGATAACCAGTGCTTAGCTTTTTTTTTTTTTTTTTTTTTAATTTTTATTTGACAGTGAGAGAGACAGAGAGAAAGGTCTTCCTTCCGTCGGTTCACCCCCTAAATGCCAACTACGGCCGGAGCTACGCTGATCCGATGGCAGGAGCCAGGTACTTATCCTGGTCTCCCATGGGGTGCAGGGCCCAAGCACTTGGGCCATCCTCCACTGCACTCCCTGGCCACAGCAGAGAGCTGGACAGGAAGAGGGGCAACCAGGACAGAATCCGGCGCCCATAAGGGATACTGGCGCCACAGGCGCAGGATTATCCAAGTGAGCCTCAGCACCGGCCCCAGTGCTCAGCTTTTTAAGACCAAACTATAAGGAACTAGATTTCTGTTTTCAAGTAGTTCTTCCTATTAAAAACATAGAATATAGCTTAGCCTTTCATTGATGAATCAGATTCTGGATTTGGAGTTAGGAGTCCTGGATTTAGATGTGGCTTTTGCAAGTTGCGTTTTCTCTCAGATCCTTAGTGATTCTTCATCTCTCTGTCCCTGGAATGTTAGAGGCAAGAGTTGAAGGGGAGCAGGCAGGGAAGAAATGCTGTTTCTCGTTGAAAAAGATAGCAGCGTGGGCCAAGATGCTTTCTAAAGAAGCTTCCACCTTCCCAGTTGGTAGCGATGTGTTCTTACACAGCACGACACCAGGCCTGTGGGTGTGTTTGCTCTCATACTCAGTGGTCCCAAGTGCTTCTGTAGTTTTGATCCTGTCTTCTGATGTGAGCTGTCCCCTGATATTGTTGTCAGCATGCTTGGGGAAAAGCAATTTCCTGTCATTCATACACACACACACACACACACACACACACCCCACAGTAAATTCATGGGAAAAGAATTAAAAGGTAAGTTGATTTTGGTGTTAAATAATTTTAATCTGCAATTTTCAAAATATACATTTTCCATGAACTTTTTTTATTGGTTTCTAAAATATTTACACCAAAATCATTGTATCTTTTAATTCTAGTTTTCCATGAACCAATAAAAATATTTTAATTATGTGAGAGATAGAGGCAGATAAAGCTCCGACCCACTGGTTCACTCCCTCAATGCCTGCAAGCACTGGGCCAGGAACTGGGACCTCAGTTTTAGGTCTCCCACTCGCTGGGTAACAAACCCAGGCACTAGGCTACGGGACACAGGCATTCTAACCAGCATCTGAACTTCCTGCCCAGTTGCCTGCTCCATCCACAAACGTTTTGACATCCTCGTGCATAGTTTGAGAACATGGGAGTGATCGTTCCTAAAGTACGGGATGTCGTCATCATCAGCTGCTTCTCTGGGGCATTTGTCGTTTCTGAGTTTGTGCCTGTGACAGAGGCCCCAGAAGGCTGGCTTCCAGCTAAGTGAGGCATTACAGTGCGTGGAGTTGATGTACTCCTGGTTGCAGTGTGTTCACTTAAGAGAGAAGTATTTGTGGGAGGAGGAAGATTGCCTATGATGCATATTTCCAGGTTTTACTCTTCCTTATTAATTTTCATTATAAATTTGGAAATGTGTTTCTCGGGAGAATATTTGACCCTAAGATGTAATAAAATCACATTGCAGAAGTGTGCAGCAGACCTTATAAAAGCACACATTCAAGAGAAAATTCTAATTTTACAGCACATCTTTGTGTTCAATTTATGTGCTTTCTGTATTAGCAGTTGGGGGTGTTTGGGGTGGGCACGGCTGCTCCAAAGGTCCAAAGGCAGACTGTCCATCTGCCTGGTGTTGAGAACGAGGGTGCAGTCTCGCCCCGGCCTGGGGAAAGGAAACAATGGCGGCAGAACCCTGGCTCCTCAAAGCGAGTGGCTGATGTGCAGCAGCAACTTAGCCGCTCAGCCTGGAGGACGCAGAGCCAGCCGTGCCGGTGACTCCAAATGCCGCAGGCAGGGGAGAAGCGTGGCTGTGGCTCCGACCAGCTTCCTGCGCTGCTGGGCTGCAGGGCCGCAGTCCCTCCCCCCAGGCCGAGCAGGGTCCTTGAAGATCCTGGAGGCCCTTCCAGGCAGTGTCCACTGACCCAGTTTCTTTGTCATTTCCAGGAGGGCCTTACTTAGGAAAAAAATCTCACACAAACATCTGGGTTGTAAAATGAGGGAAAAGAGAGATGGTTATTTGCATTATAATCTTGCAAATGTAAAATGATTCCATTTTATACTAAATTCACATTGAAACTAGAAGAGGTGACTTCAAAAGGTTCATGGAAAATGGAATTAAAAGGTAAGTTAATTTTGGTGTAAATTTTTTTTTGAAATCCTTGCATAGTTTTTCCTGTAATATGATTTTCCACGAACTTTTTGAAGACCCCTCATTGCACATTTAAAATATAGTGTGTTGAGGCAAGCATCTGGCCTAGAGGTGAAGATGTCCCCGTCTCATATCTGAGTGCCTGGGTTCAAGTCCTGGCCCTGGCTCCCGACTCCAGCTTCCTGCTAATACAGACTCTGAGGCAATAGTGACGGCTCAGTTAGGTTCCTGCTACTCTCTCAGGACAGCTGGACTGATTTCCTGGCTGTGATCTAACCCAGCCCAGCCCTAGGCATTGTGGACTTTTGGAGAGAGCATCAGCAGAATCAGTGTATATGAGTTCTGTCTGCCTGCCATTTTAATAAATAAAATGGGGGGGGGGGCAGCATTGTTGTGGTGTAGCATGTAAACCCACTGCCTGCAATGCCAGCATCCCATATGGGCGGTGGTTCATATCCTGACTGCTCCACTTCTGATCCAGTTCCCTGCTAATGGCCTGAGAAAAGCATTGATATGGCTCAAGTGCTTGGGCCCCTGAACCTGTGTGGGAGACCAGATGAAACTCCTGACTTCAGCCTGGCGCAGCCCTGACCATTGCAGCCACCTGGAGACCGAGCCAGTGGATGAAATCTCTCTCTCTCTCTCTTTCTCCCTCTAAAGCTGATATTCAAATAAGGAAATCCTTAAAAAAAATTTTTAATTGGTACCAAAGATTTTTGTTTAAATATAGCCTTTGGGCTATTTTTAAAAACCAGGTATATCTGAAGTGAATTTTTAAAAAATTTTTATTCATTTTCATTTTCTTTGGAAGGCAAAGAAGAGAATCTTTCATCTGCTGGTTACTTCCCAAGTGCCTGCAGCAGCTGGGAGTGGGCCAGGCCGAAGCCAGGAGCCCAGAACACAATCTGGTGCTCCGTGTGGAGACCCAAGTACTTGAGCCATCACCTGCTTCTCCAAGGTGTGCGTTAGCAGAAAGCTGGAACTGGAATTTGAACGCAGGCACTCTGTTAAGGATGTGGGTGTCCAGGCAGCATCTTAACCCACAGGGTGGGTGAATTTCTTTCTTTTTAAAAAAATTTTTTTTAAATAATAGTCCCTTCTTCCCTTCTTCCCTCTCTTTTTCCCCCCTCCCTTTTTTTTTTTTTTTTTTTTTTTGACAGAGTTAGAGAGACAGAAAGGTCTTCCTTCCGTTGGTTCATTCCCCAAAGGGCCACTGTGGCCAGCGCTGTGCCGATCCAAAGCCAGGAGCCAGGTGCTTTCTCCTGGTCTCCCGTGCAGGTGCAGGGCCCAAGCACTTGGGCCATCCTGCACTGCCCTCCCAGGCCACAGCAGAGAGCTGGCCTGGAAGAGGAGCAACTGAGACTAGAACCCGGCACCCAAATGAGATGCCGGCACTGCAGGCGGAGGATTAACCAAGTGAGCCATGGCACCGGCCACAGGAGTGAATTTCTTTATTTGGACTCTGAATCATGAGGTAAATCTGCCCAACAGTTTTCATGCTCTTAGTTTTTCCTTTACATGGTTTTTAGAGGGAAAAAAATGTACCCATCTCCCTTTCTGGGATCCAGATTTTCCCCATCACCAGAAACTCACCTTTTCCCAAGATCTGTGTGTTGTCCTTGCTGCGTCTAGAGTTTGACTGCGCTTGCCTCTCAGAGCTTCATTCCACAAGGCGGCCTGTGCAGGTTGTCTCATTGAAACGCCTTGTTGAGCGTTCAGAGGTTCCTGGACAAAGCCCAGCATGAAGGCCCAAAGCTCCCACTTTTATCCTGTTTGTTGTTGTTTTAAGATTTATTTATTTATTTGAAAGTTAGAGGTACAGAGAAGCAGAGGCAGAAAGAAAGAGAGATCTTCCATCCGCTGGTTCACTCCCAAATGGCCGCAATGGCCGGAGCTGGGCCGATCTGAAGCCAGGAGCTCCTTCCAGGTCTCCCAAGTGGGTACAAAGGCCCAAGGACTTGGACCTCTTCCACTGTTTTCCCAGGCGCATTAACAGGGAGCTGGATAGGAAGTGGAGCAGGTGGGACTCAAACCAGTACCCACATGGGATGCTGACACTGCAGGCAGCAGCTTTACCTACTACACCACGGTGCTGGCCTCTATCCTGTTCTTGTTACCTAATGTGATGTTGGTGTTGGAGCAGAAATTCTTCTCCCCTATAATGCCATTGCTTGCTTCTCTCCGCAGTGAGAAAGTGGCGTGTGAAAAGTGCCCTAGGAGCCCTGGGCCAATGGCAGCTTGAAGTAGGGGAGCCAGCGCCCCCAGGCGCAGGGAGCTTGGGACCTGAATTCATCAAGGAAAACAATGCCAATGTATGTCTGTCTGTCCAGCTGACTTGTGGGGGCTGAGATGGGGTGGGCTGCTGGCCCTTGAAGGCAGGGATCCTCCTTTGTTCCCCTCTTCGTCTCCATTGTGCCCATCTGCACACAGCACTATCAGTGTCTAAAGGAACACTTGGAGGGTTTTGGCTTGATCATCCCGGGGAGAGGGCTCCAGGCCCGGGCTGAAAGAGTAACACAGCCCAGGGGGAGTTGTGGGGAGGAGCTGAGGGCCTCCCACCGTGCCCCTGAGTAAGGTCCGCCCCTCCCCAAGAACAGTCCTAGAGTTGATTTGCCTTCTGCAGCCCATCTTCATGCGCAAGGACACCAAGATGAGTTTCCAGTGGCGGATTCGGAACCTCCCCTACCCTAAGGATGTCTATAGTGTCTGTGTGGATCCGAAGGAACGCTGCATCGTTGTCCGAACAAGCAACAAAAAGTAAGTGGTGGGGCGCGTGCTTGGTGCAGTGGTTAGGGTGCCTCTTGAGGTGCCCCTTCCTCATACTTCCCATAGTGGAAAGCCTGAATTCGATCCCAGCTCAGCTTCCCTGGGAGGCAGCAAGTGACAGCCCAGGTAGTTGAGTCCCTGCCACCCACGTGGGAGACCTGAATAAGGTTCCAGGCTTTGGCCTGGCCCAGCCCTGGCCCCTGCTGTTGTGGGGAGCGAACCAGCAGTTGGGGGATCTCTGGCTTCCTCCCCCTCTTTCCCTCTGTCTCCTGTCTCTGCCTTTCAAATAAGTGTTTTAAAAAAAACCGAGAAGCATAACGGACAGCTGTCTTGTATGTGAGCAGGTGTGGGCTGGGGTTAGATCTCAAACTTCTCCTTACCCCAGAAGGCAAAGAAGCCTTTTCCTCCTCCTCTGAATGAACGCGCAGGAGGCACTAACTGGAAGGGACCAGCGGGCACCACGTGGCCTGTTCCCTCAGGGCAGGGGAATTTGCGTGTACACACAGTACCTAGCATAGACTGGGGTTCGAGAAATATTTGTTGGGCGAATGAGAGTTGAGGCAATCACAAGGCTGTTGACTTGGGATCTCAGGTGGTTCCGCTGTAATGTTATGACTGACCTACTGGCTGGTTCCAGTCAACATGGAACTTGGCCTGGTGACATCACTGTCACAGCTGGCAGGGAGCCATAGCCCGGGAGGCACACCTGTCTGAGGTGGCAGTTACAGGACTTTAAAGTCCTGGGCTGAACAGCAGTAAACCTGATCTCTCCCTGGACTCAGGGGCAGTAGACAGATGCTGTGGCCTATTGGAAGCCTCTTGCATTATATTTCAAAGGGGGTACTCAACTTCCTTTTGTTGTCTGCTGGGGGAGTGGGTGTGGGTGTGGGTGTGGGTGTGGGTGTGGGGAGGGCTGTTGAAAAGACAGACGGTGGCCGAGGCGCATTCCTATCTTGGAAATGCATTGATCCTTTTGGGTTTCTGGAATTCTGACTGCTCACAGAACAGAATAGTCCGGAAATGAATCAGCCTTGACCTAGGCTGGAGGGGTTACCGGATGAAGCCAACTGCCATGAGCTGGGAGTCACCCTGCACTCTCGAGGGGCTCTGGCCCTAACCTAGAGATGCCCCTGTACACCCGCTGCTTTCCACGTGGTCAGGAGGACCCAGCTCCTTGTCCATCCTCTCAGGAGCTGGGGACCAGCCTCCTCCTCCAGCCCTGTCAGATCCCTGAGGCCCACAGGGAAGCAGAAGGCTCTCAGGCTCCCCTAGTACAGCCTTGGGTTCTGCCCTCCTCTTAAGACCCCTGTACCCCAGCACTTTGGCAGGGTTAAGGGGACAGGGGAAGGGTTGGAGATGAATGAATTAATTTCAGGATTATTGCTGTACATGCAGCCAGCAGCCCCTGCAGTGGGCCTTGTCTATAAATATAAAGTCATAACAATAAGGGTTTGCGTTTATAAAGCACTTTGAAGTCCTCAGATAAAAGGCAGTTTATTCCCGTTATTGTGCTCATCATTAACAGGAGTCAGTGCCTAAAGTGGAATTTAGCAATTTCAGACCACGGAGAAATTGCCTGTAGGAAAACAAACTCCATGCTTCAGCAAGCATTCCCTGGCGTCGAGGCCCTGGGTCCAAACTAGGAACAAAAGTGCTTCTGATAGCACTTGAATCTGCAGCCTAGCACTTTGTGGAGCTGGCTGCTGCCTCCTTTTTGTCCCCCAGAGGTCACTGTCGAATACAGATATCAGGCAGAAATGTGATTACCAGGGAGTGGGAGAAGAGGGGCCAGCTAGCTCACCACAAAATTCATCTACCGCCCGTCCTCTGGGTCCTATCTCCTGCACGCATCCGTCTGTAGGTGGCGCTGTTGGCCAGGAACTCCGTGGCTAGAGGCCCATTCTAGTGCCTGGAAGGCCTGGTCCACACTTCTAAAATACTGGATGAGGCCCGGGAGGGATGGGAGTGGTATACCCCAAGAGCTTAGGGCTGGAAGTGGAATTCCACAGAAGAGGATTCAGTGTTTCAGTGCCATTTTGGAGTTCACATTGAGCTCTTGGTCGTGTTCAGCCTGGCTCAGGTCCCTCTGCTGGAAGGTGGAGCGGGAGGCCTGTAAACCCTTACCTGGGGCTGCCTAAGCCACAAGGGCATCTTCACCTCCTACCTGGAATAACGTGTTCTGTACCTGTACTTCCGTTCATTAAACTGAACTCAATGGCTGTTCCTTTGAATGGTGTTTAACTCAGGAGACTTTTCAGTATCTGTTATCTGATCATCCCACCATCCAGAGACCTTTTTTGTTTGTTTGTAAACACTGAAAAACTTTGAGACATAGGGAGACAGGTAGGTAGAGAGAGAGCTCCCATCTGCCGGTTCACTCCAAATGCTTGCAACATGCCCGTGCTGGGACTGGACCCGGGAGCTGGGGCTCAGTCATCCCTGCCTCCCGTGTGGGTAGCAGAGACGCAGTCGCTGGAGTCATCACCGCTGCTGCTCAGGGTCTGCCTTAGCAGGAAGCTGGAACCAGGAGCCTGAGCCAGGAATCAAACCCAGGTACCCTAATGCGGGACACAGGTGTCCCGACCAGTGGCTTAACCGCTAGGCCAGACATCTGCTCCTGGGTTTTCTGTTTATTTAAGTGTTACATATTAACAATGACCTAAATGTGTTAAAAAAAAAAAAAAAAAAAAACACTCCATGTGATGAACTGACCTGTTGAAAGTGACTTGCACAGCCATCTGTAGTCCTCCCCACACCGCCACCAAATACGACATTTCTCTGATTTACCTCTTCCATCACCCACAGGTTCTGTGCCTGCCACAGTTCTAATATTCTGGAAAGTGGTCACTGACTAAAGCCAGAGTTCCTCTGTTCATACCCATGTTTCCCCGAAGAACTAGGTTGGCCGCTTTGCTTGAAGAAATTGATTGTATCATGTTGTGTTCCTGGCCTCAGATACCAGTGAGGGATGAGTCAGGGAAGAAAGAGAGTGCTGTCCATGATGGCCGTGGGGCACTATCTGTCTTTGTGCAGAAAGAAGGTTCTTAGCCTCCGCCTGGAAGCAAAATGAGCCATCGGGCTGGAGTTGGGAAAAGTTGGTGTACCTGGCCACTTGCTACTTATGATCTACAGTGTGTGGGGCAAGGCTTCCTCATCTGTCAGGGAACATGCATGCCTGCTTCACGGGTTGTTTGGGCGATTCGATGGAATCGAGTATGTACAAGCACTCAGCGCTGTGGCAAGCCTGAAGCAGGTCCCCAACAATTCTTTGGGAATTTGGAGTCTGAAGAGAGCTTAGCTTGGCTGATTTGACATCAGTGATACAAGCACTGTGGTAGGTGTTAACAGGCATCACTAGGAAACAGGATTCTGTGGTGAAACAGTTTAGGAACTCTGGATTCAACAGGCCTGTCCTTGATAGAGCCCTGAGGCCTGGATTATGCACGTTTGTATCGTGGCAGCCTGGCCGGGCTCCTGGAGGTGAGAGTGTCCAGTCTGCCTAGAGCCCTGGTGTTTATGAAGATTTGCCTGCCAGTTTCGTCAAGAGTGGGACTGGCTGGAAGCTTCTCTGGATGCCTCTGGCCAAGCTGGTGTGCAGGAGTAGTGGTGCTTGGGCAGGTCACCAGGGGTGTGCTTTCACTGGAGGCCTGGCCTCTGCTGCCTTGCCCAGTTCATTGCAAGGAGATTGAGGAAGGGCCAGGAATTGGGTAGGAAATAAAGGAGAGAGTGATGGCAGGGATTTGTATTCTGAAATGGCCAAATGCAGCTGTTGTCTGGCACAGGGAGCAGAGAAGTACAGAGTGGGCCTGTTCTGGGCCCTTTGATAGTGACATGAATCACATGAATTCGTGGAGGTCAGCTCCTTGATTGGAGGAAGCAAGTGAGGACCAGAAGTGTCCCAGGGGGATAGAGCAGGCCAGAAGTCCTACTGTCAGCCTTTCTTCCATGTAAGTCTTTTGAAGACTTGATGCTCAGATAGGACTGGCAGTAGTGTGCTGGAGAGAATAGCCAGGGGCCCGCAGGGCAGGGGGATCACAAAGGAGACTAACCTGCTCATTGCTGGCCACCCCCACATGTGCCCCATCCTTGGACAGGAGCTGGAATCTGTTACTCTGGTGAGAATGTGGAGAGGGGGAGGGTCAGGTGCTTTGGAGAATTATCACATGTAAAGGGACCGCTCCATTTACCTAACATTTCCATGCCTCGATTTCCTTTTCTGTAAAAGAGGATAATTGAAGGAACACACTTGGAGGGTTGCTTTGAGAGGTAAGTGTGTTTAGACCAGAGCCTGGCACCGAATAAGCATTAGGAAAGACACTCACTTTTCCATTGTGGCTGGGACAGAAAACAGTTGAAGGAGGTTGTGATGGTGAGAGCTGGGCACCTGCAAGGCACCAGGAGCCCGCCTGCTGCCAGGGTTTGGTGTCAGCCGAGAGAAAGCAAGGGTTGCGCAGCAAGGGTGCAGTCTTGTTTCTCCTCCATGCTTAACCTCCAGCTCATGGCCCAGGGCCAGGGACGTAGCTGATGGTGCAGTGCCATGTCTGCTGCCACCTAAAGTCGTGTGAGACAATACTCTGACTTTCCCAGAAGCATGGTGAGAACCCCTTCTTGTCCAAGGTGCTGGCGAGAAAGTCAAGTGCAGTTCCCATTCTGGCAAACCCTGAGGCTGGGGGAAGTGCGAAGGGGGTGGGCTGGCTCCTGAAAAGAGAAAGCAGATGCCCCCTACTCCCATGAGTACTGCCTGTAAGGAAAAGTTGTTTTTAACCTCAACCAGTGAATTAAATCCATTACAGCAGAGGGGAAACAAAGCCCATTTCCCTAGCCTGGAGGTTGGGGTAAGATCCAGAAGCCTCCTGCCTGCCGCTGCCCTGGAGGCCAGGCCCCAGGCAATGGGGGGTGGGGCACGGGGAAGATGAGTTTCCTACCCTCCAGTCCCACTGGCCCAGCCTGGGTGACGGTTTTGCCAGCCTGCCTCTCCTGGTTCTGCTTTTTGTGTATATTTGCAGGGAGGATGTTAACACTTCCTAACAAGCCTTTGTGTTCATCTAATCTCTGCTGTTTAACCTTTGACTCCCCTCTATTATCAGTGGCTGCCACCTTTGCTGGCCAGAGCAAAGGCCCCAGGAAGAGCCTTGAGCTGGGCTGGCTGGGAAGGGGTGAGGCAGGCATTCCACCGCCTAGCAGGCAGATGGCTCGCCTTTCCCTGGGGCAGAGCTTTGGAAACCAAAGTGACTCGTGGTGCCATTAGGACCCCCAGCCCCCACTCCTTTTGAACTGTCAGCCTTTAAGTAAACATTCTTTTCCTGCCAAGGGTCCCAACACCTTGATGGGGAGTGGGGAACTTTCGAGGAGAGGGGCCTGAGAGCCTCTGTGGAATGGAGGGATTTGGGCAGGGAGAACCAGGGGCAGAAGTGCCTCCCTGATGTCAGCTCTCTCAATCCCCAGGGCATCGGAGCTTTTGAAGTGGACTGGGGCAGCTGTCACCACAAGGACCAGGCCCCTGTGAAGTATTAAAAGCCCTTCCTCTGCAGGGCCCTCACTTGAGTTTGTTTGCACCTGCCTGAGGCGTTCCCTCCACAGCCCACACAACCTGTGCAGCAGAGAGGGATGCCTCGCCCAGGCGGCAGGTCTGGCAGCCCCTGGCCTAGGCTCAGCTACGCTTCGCCAAGGAAAATGCCAGTGGGTCTGCAGTGGAGAAATGAGGGGGCCGTGTTAGCCTCAGATCCAGAGTAAGGAACTTCCTTCTGACCTTCACTCTGACTTCACTGACAGATACCTGGCTGGGAAACCAGGTAAGATATTCCATCTTTCTCAGCCTGTTAGGTAAAGGTCAAATTCCAGGCAAAACCAAGTCCAGTTATCTACACTGCAGGCTTGGGAGTGCTGTCTTGTTTTTCTAAAAGATCACTCAGCCCTAGGCCAGCACCTATAGCTATGAAATGAAGTCTTAAGCACCCTCCTGCCTGGAGTGCCAGTAGCACGTGTGGTATGTGAACAGGAGTGGTGTCCCGGGACCAGGAAGGTAGTCCAGAGCCCAAGCTCCAGCTTCCACGGTGAGTCTCAGGGTTTTTCTTCTCAAGGAGCGTTCTTAGGGACGTAGTTTCCTCCTCGGCCTACGAGTAGACCCTGAAGGCAGAAATGGTAGCTTAAATGGCAGCTGTAGGTCCCCAGCTCTGGAGGGCCCTAGATGTCCTTCTTCTGTCCCTTGTTAGATGCTGTGCCCCATTTTCTGGTGTCCCCTTGATGCTGGGGGTACAGTGGCCCAGGGGGCCGGGCTCTGTGTATTCCAGGATGCTTCTACCTACTTGTGAGAGTCTTTTTTTATTATTAGTTTAAGATTTTGTTATTTGAAAGGCATACTTACAGAGAGATGAGGGAAGGCAGAGATCTTCCACTTGCTGATTTTCCAAAAGGCAGTAATGATCAGGGCCAGGTCAGGTGGAAGCCAGAAGCCTGGAACTCCTCCTGGGTCTCCCATGTGGGTGCAGGGGCTCAAAGATGGTGCCAGGGCCATCTTCCCACTGCTTTCCCAGGAGCATTAGCAGGGAGCTGGATCAGAGGTGGAGCAGCCAGGACTAGAACCGGTGCCCATATGGGATGCAAAGGCGGTGGCTTAACCCGCTGCAATGCAACGCTGGCCCCCTTTGGGAATCTTAACCTAGGTGTGTGGTCTAATCACAGAACTATGACTGGTTTTACCCTTATTCCACTGGACTAGCCAGAAGACTGGCATCTTCTTCCCAGGGCCACTGAGATCTTCAAATACTGGTGTTCTAGCTGGTTCCTCTGCCCTCTCTGGCTGTGTTGGAAGGTGTGAGGAAGCTTGGCAGCAGGGAAGCTGGTGCCCTGATTGCCCCAATGGCCTCTTGGTGTCCCCACAGGTACTACAAGAAGTTCTCCATTCCTGACCTCGACAGATATCAGCTACCCCTGGAGGAGTCCTCGCTGAGCATTGCTCATGCCAACTGTACCCTGATCATCTCCGTAAGTTGCTCTCGGATTTATTGGCCACTGCATCGGGGAAAAGGCTCCACCTTCTCTCCATCCCCTACCCTAGTGTGTGCTTCTCAGAAAACACGCATCTGACTGAGCCTCGGGGAGGGCAGTGAGGGGTTCAGGGAGGAACCTGATCGTGTGATTGATGGGGAAGTGGTGGAAATTATGGGGCTTGGGGTCTGGTCCAAGGTTCGTTTTTATGCAGCCACATGACCTTGAGCAAATCATTCCACGTCATAGGCCTCAATTTCCTCATGTACAAATAAGATGACCAGAAAGAGCCTGAGTGTGTGTGTGTGTGTGGGGGGGTGTACAGTGAGAGTGACAGCACCAGTGACTGAATATGTCATCTGCTCGGCTTTATTTCCAGTATCAGAAGCCAAAGGAGGTCGTGGTGGCTGAATCAGAGCTACAGAAGGAACTCAAGAAGGTAAAGACAGCCCACGGCAGTGATGGGGACTGCAAGACCCAGTAGCCGGCCCTGGAGCCTTGCACCTGCAGCATGGAGGGTGCCGTGAGGTTCCAAGGCTTGGGTCTTTCCAGCAGGGGGCAGCCTCCTCTCTTTCAGGAGCTACCCAGAGTTCATAGGAACTGGACAGTAGGGCCTTCCTAGCCTCTGTGTCATGCCTGGACTTACTTCCTGAGTGAAGTCATTTTGAGTTACTGCAGATGGTCTGCCCCCTGCCCACCTCCGTAAGCTGCCTGTCCTCAGTCATGACTGGCCTCAGAGAGACCTTGTGCTATCTTAGCTCACGGAAGGTCCTAAGATGGGTGCAGGCAAGGGAGACTTGGCCCTGCCACAGTCCATTCCCTGTACCTCACAGGGTGACAGCCACCCCACCACCAGAGCTAAAGGCAGGGGTGGGCTTTCTGAAAAAAATAAACCTTTGGTCCTTGGGATCTAGAACGTGAGGCTGGCCTGTGTCCTGATGCTCACTCTCATCTGTCCAGCCAGTAAAGAACCAGATCTGTGAACAATCAAGCTTTATTTTTACAAAATTGGGAATCTGGTAGCATGTCTCCACAGCCTGCTTCAGCGACTCACTCAGAATGGTTGGATTCCCGTTGTCTTGTCTTGGTTTCAAAGCAGAACCAGGCCCCAGTGCCCCAGGAATGAAGCTGCCACCCCTAGACGGTAGGGTCTGAATGAGGAGCTAGCTGCTGCCAGCAGGGTATCCCCTCTGCTTCAGGGAAGGGCAGACAGGGAGTGAGTGCCTCCCCTGGGCTGCAGGGTGGCCCTTGCCAGTTAGATCCTTAATCTGGCCAGACAGGGACACGAGGCCCAGTTCAGCTGCACACTCAGTTGGGGTTGGGGGGCTGCCCTCAGGGTTCGCAGCAGTCATGGCTTCTAGCTTACAGTGCCTGAACACGGTGGCCACAGGTCTGGGAGCACAGCGGGGTGGGGGAGGAGGTATCGCTGCACCCTCCAGACGAGGGAGGTCCCTGAGTAGCTGATGGCCCGCAGGCGAGGGGGCCTGACTGTCATGGATTTCGAAAGTCCAGGACATGGAGGTTGTAAGACAGCGCAGCGTAGAGATGCGTGGTGGTGAAGCGCAGGCAGTACACAGGACTGCTCAGCGGCGTCGATGTTAGCGGGAAGGCCTAGTGGGAGGGAGGGAGGGATGAGTTTCCCAAGTGGCCCCTGGACCCAGGGACATGTGCCACTGCAGCTTTCCGCCACCCCCTCCACGTCACCCACTCCCGCATGCAGCCGTGAGCCCTGCACCCAGAGGTGGGAACTGGGCAGGACACTTACATGCAGGCAGGCCCTTTGGCGCCTGTCCCACAGCCGGACGACACCGTAGTAGGAGGAACCCGTGGCCAGCAGATGGTTGCCATCCGTCTGCAGGCAGTACAGGGTGCTGTCGTGGGGCTCCTCCCACTCCATGACACATTTCCTGTCCCAAGAAAAGATGCAGGGAGAGATTTGGGAACCTTCCACCTCAACTTCCCGGGGGTCCTGGGGAGGGGTAGGGAGTCACTCTGGGCTGGGAGAGTCTTTAAAAAACCAAACTTAATTGAGAAGGCCTCCTCTGTAGAGGGCTCTCCTGCCAAGCCCTAGACCACAGAACAGAGGACGCCCTCATGTATGTGTTCACGTGGCCTGCCATTGGTCCCAGGCCTCCTAATGTGGAGAAGTGACGAAAGGCTGGCAGGCGGCAGATGTTCGGTGCAGTGGATAAGACACCACTTGGGACACCGACATCCTATGTTGGAATGCTGGGGTTTGAGGCCCAGCTTCCTGCTGGTGTGCACCCTGGGAGGCAGCAGGTGATAGTGCACCTACATGGGGACCAGGATTGAGTTGCTGGCTTCAGCCTGGCTGGGTCCTTTTGATGGCATCTGAGGAGTGAACCAGTTGATAGGGGTGTGTTTCTATCTTGAAATGAATAAAAAAAATTTTTTTCATTAAAAAGGAGGCCAGGACAGTATGCTGAGGGACAGCTCTGGTGGCTCTAAGAACTGCCTGCCCTCGTCAGGGCCCACTGGCTGCAGTCTCCAAGGCTACCCAAGGAGAGGGGGTCTAAGCCTAATATGACCTTGTCTTCCCTTCCCTCCCAGCCCGACAAGGAGACTGTGTCTCGTCCTGTGGGACAACCCGGAACTGAGGCTGACACAGGGCTCCCCCCACCTGTCCTCCCTGTCCAGCACACTCACCGGGCACTGGTGCGGAGGTCCCAGTAGCGAACGTAGGTATCATAGCCACAGGACAGCAGCGTGGAAGGGGACTCATACATGACGTCCAGCACCCCCGCTCCTGGGGGGAAGTCGCTGCCCAGGTGCGTCATCAGCTGCCCACTGTGGAGAGGACGGGCAGAGTCAGGCTCCCTGCCCCCCGGGGACGTGTTCTTCTACCCTGCAGGTGGGCGCTGGGCCCTTACTCCCGGAGGGAAGAGATGCCTCAGCCTCCCCCCTGCTCACCAGTACCAGGCCCCACCCCTCCCCCCAGCGTCACAGCCCCCAGCTGAAAGCCTCAGTGAGACGCCAGCAAACCCTCCATCACACCTGCGAGCCGGCTGCTGGCCGCCCCTTCTCAGGACGATGAATGGGCCTTGCTGAAGGGGTCGGCCCCCCTCCCTCGCACACACTTGGTTACTTTATACTCCTTGATCCTGCAGGTCATGCAGTTCTGAGCTGCCTGAGTCCAATGCCTTAATTCCTGCCTGTAATCTGGGGCTCAAACCTCGTTGAGGATAAAGACCACACAAAGGGAGAAGGGGAGTCCCAGGAGATGTTAAAACAAGTAAACACCTTTGTGTCTGGGGCAAGAAATCGCTGAGAAAGCAGCTTAGCGGGCCGGTCCCTGGTGCTCCTGGCCCGCCTGGCCCCCAGCCCGGGCTAGCACGCCTCTGTGATCACAGCCCCCAGCCCGCTGGGCTCCAGCCTACTGCCCCCGCCCTCACTCCACCCGGTGGCCGAGAGCAGATTACTGAGAAGAACAATTGCTTTGTGACTGTGTAATTCCCTCCGTGACCGCGGCAGTGGGCAGACCCCGCGCCCTGATGCCAGACCCCTAGCAACCACATAGGGGGGCCTCCTGGCCCTAGCAACTACCCCTCAACATCAAGTGCACCCGCTAATCCCTGCGGCCAGGGGACGGTGGAAGTGTTGAGTTTCTGCAGAATGATGGGGGGGGGGTACCTTGTGGACCCCACGCTTCAGTGTTCTTCACCCCTGAGACCCAGGCGCTCCTGTGGCAACACATGAGAAACAAGGCCACGGACCCTCCACACCACGCCCAGAAAGGAGGCTGTGGGGTGGAGAGGATTCACGGCGCTGCCAGCCGCGCTGGATGGTCTGAAGGCAGGTGTCAGCTCCAGGGCTGCCACTTCACCCAGGCTCCTCCCAGCAGAGCTGCCACCCTCCCTGAAAGCGGCAAGGGAGAAGGCCGGGGCTCCTCTCAGCCCACCCCGCCTCCCCCTGTGTGCTCTGGGCAGCTGCTGTCCAGTGGTAGGTTAGGCCCCAGGGAGGCACTCCTGCCCCCAGCGCCCCCTACTGAGAAGTGCTCATCGTCCTCTTGGTGGCCCAGACAGAAAACTGCCTCCCCATAGCAGCAGCCTCTGGAGACCGCGGAGCTCAGCCCCCGGGGAGCCCTGCCTTCCTGGATAGGCTGCCAGCCCGATTCACCACCCTGGCAGGCCTGAGCCCCCATCACAGGGACGTTCGTGTATACCGCGTAGGGGATGTTTTGCTCCACAGGTCTCCCTCTCTAGATTTGGGGGCTCTGCCCCCTCCATTAGTGAGGCCTTAATGATTGAGGAGCTCTCCCCTTTAATCTACAGAAGTAATTTCATGTTTGTTTGAAATAGAAGATGAAAGGCTGTGGGGGCTGGGAGGAGTGAAGCCCAGCATGGCTCTGCCTGCCCACCGCCAGGCCTGGGGTCCTGAGGGAAGGAGGCCTGGGCCCCTGCCCTAGCATCCGAGTCGGCATTGGAAGAGGCCGTGGCTCTGGCCAACGCACGAGAGTCCCGAGGACCCCTGTGCTGTGGGGAAGAGCCAGAGGCCCAGGTGAGCACCAGCCCCTGGGGAGCAGGACCAGGCCAGAGCGTGCCTCGAGGGCCAGCCCTGGACTCGGAAATGGCCACACACACTGTAAATGGGCCAATAAAAAGATACAGTTTCTTTTGCCTTGGAGCCCTGGACCCTCAAAGCTCTGTTGTGCAGTGCCCGTGAGGTTAAGTTCAGAGCATAAACTGACGCACCAGGCTCTGAGGAATGGGCCGGCCCTTCCAATAGCGGCCCAGCAGTGCCATCGGAGCCCTGCTGGGGCTTTGATTTGGGAAAACAAACAGAAATGGCACCGTGGGCCCTGGGCAGCCCCCCACCCCACCCCCAGCCCAATTTAACTAGAAAGCTAGCTCAACTGCTGCAGTGGAGGGGGAGCCATGGTGACAATAGCCCTCAACTTTGGGGGACTGGTACAAAACCAGCTGTTTGTCTCCTCTTCCCCTCCTCCTGGGCTCCTTTTCTTACTGCAAGTGTGTTCTTGTAAAAACGATTAGATTGCAATTTGTATGAAGTGGCAACCCCCAAATTCAGACAGTTCTCCCCTTTTCTCTAGAAAGAATGTTAAGAATGCTTCTCGACCTCTGGGGGGTGGGCGGGACGCAGAGCCTTGGTGTTGCACAACTTGTGTGGGAACAGGGCTGCTGCTCAGAGCCCCGGCCCGAGATGGAGCAAGGGCCAGCTCTGTCATTCCAGAGGGCCAGACAAAAAGGCCATTCCCTTCCAGCTCCTGTGGACAAAGCCTGGGGGGCCTGCACACCCCAGCCTCCCCTGAGCCCGACTCCAGCAATCCTCCCTCCACCCAGGGAAAGATAAAGACAGATGGGGCCGCCTGTGTGAGCCTGGTGAATGAGCAGGGCTGGGGAGGGGCCGCCTGCAGACCGGTTCTCTTTGGCCCTGGCTGTGTACGGGCTTTTCCCCGGGAACCCCAGCACCTGGGCAGAAGCAAGCAGAGTGTGGCCACGTCCTTGAGCTGTCCCTTGAAAAGGAACCTGGTCTTCCCGTCCCCACCCACCCTGCTGTGCCAGGGCATTGTACTGTAGCTGGAGGGAAGCGAAGCAGCCCCTGCCAGTCAGAGAAGAGGGAAGTCTAAATAAAACCCTGACACCCCATCCCTGTCACCGCCTGTGTGACAGCCAGCTGTGGGTAGGTACTGGCCTTGGAGACCTGGATGCCCCATCTGGGAGACGCCCCGAGCGCCAAGCTGGAGTCAGGCCCTGGGGGAAGGTGCTGGCACCCCAGCCCTGCCCGAGTCTGGGCCTCGCAGGACCCAGAACCCGGGAGCCCTGCTCCACGCACTTGCCCTGGCCTGAATGGCCCCCACACACACCTCCTGTACCAGAGCGTTCCTTGGGCACTGCCAGCCCCACCTCCCAGCCCGCAGGGTGCCTCCCACTCCGGCTCAGCCATTTGAACAGGCTGCTGCTGCTCCTCCCTGAAGACCCTCTGGGTACTCATTCCTGGATCCCTTTGGCTTCGAAGACACCATGTCTGGCATGTTCTACCCCAAAACTTGGCAACTGCTTTTGGGGAGAGAAGATGGAAAAGTGACGATTCACCTTCTCACCGCTCCTCTGCTCCCCACGGACAGAGGCCTGAAGGCAGAGGCTGGCCCCAGAATGGTGGCTCCGAATGGGAGGTTCCTCCTTCATTCCCTCCGTCAGCAACCAGTATAAGGCATTGTGCGGCACAGAAACTGCAGGGGCCACGTGCTGCCGCTGTGCCTCATGGGTCTACCCCGCAGTGCCGAGTGTGACCTGGGGGCTACCACAGGGCTCTGAGAGGGAAAGATAAGGGAAGAACATCTCTGGCTGGGGTACTGACTTCAGCAAGTGACAGGACTGTGGCAGGAGGGGGACGGCTCAGGCCAAAGTAACAGCAGCAGCAAAGTGCAGAACAAGGGCAACCAGGCTAGACTGTGGCAGTGTTGGTGATCCAGCCCGGCTGCAGGCCGGCAGGATCTGGCCTCTGGTCCTGGTGGGCCTTGGGGCACTGAGTGGCAGAGCGCCTGGAGGCTCTGACAGGGACTGGTTGTCCTGGGCCAGCCCTGACCGCAGATGAGGAAAGCAAGGCCACGGAGGAAAAGTGGCTTTTGTAAAGTCCCAGGGCAAGGGACTGAGGAGGGTGGTCCGGCTCGTGGGCTGGGAGCTCACAGAGGGGCACAGCCTGCTCTCCGACCACTGGCCCCGATGACATAGCTATGCAGGCTGCCGAATCCATACTGTACGCCGAGCACTCTGCACAGAGCAGCTCAGCACTCAGAAGCCCAGGGTGTGCACCTTACTCCCAGTGCACCCGAGCAAGTGTGGGGTCCATTTGCTCAGGAGCACCACAGGACCTGCCCCGGCAGACCCCTGGCCACTTCGGCGCCCTTACCTATCCACAGGCCCCTCCTCCTCACTGGAGTGAGAATCCAGGGAGCAGACAGACCCCAGAAACCAAATGTATCCCTGGCCTGGCCCCCACAGGTGAGAGGGCTGGGTTCGCGCGCAGCCCCCAGCTCCCACCCGCACACACGTGTTCAGACACAATGGCTCAAAGGCCAGGCGGCTGGGCAGCCCACTTTGTACTGCTAACAAGGGGACCGTAATTACAGGAAGGGGCAGCCGGGCAGATAAAAGGATACAAAATTTCAACATCTGTTGCCATAAAGGGATAAGGAGAAGTGAAACGCAAAGTATCAGTTTGGTGTCAGCAGGCAGAGAGCCAATTTCAAAGAGTTCGGGGGACAGAAGGGACAAGAAAGAAAAAAGGAAAGGGGGGAGAAAGAAAGAAAGAAATTACAGGGTTCCTTAAAGAGGTAAAGAAAAAAGAGAATGAGAAAAGCTGTCAGTAATACTTTCAAAGGAGGAGGCAGGTACTTTAAAGGGGGCAATTCCTGTAATCACCCTGACGGGCTGGGCCCCCTGCATGGGTGGGGGTGGAGCACAGGGCAGAGACAGCCACACCTGGGCAGGATGGGCACTAATCCTGCCCTCAGAGGCGCTCAGCCGATGCTCCGGACACGGTTTCCCTCTCCAGCCGGGTGCCCCTTGCTGTGCCAGATGCCATCAGTTGCCCTAATATTCTACCCTGTGCCCAGCGTGGGGCACCCAAGGTAATTTTCCAGCCCAGAGGGTAGCCGTGCAGGCCACACCCTGACAGGCCATGTGCCCTTGTGGGTGCTCTTAACAGCATGCAAGGGAAAGGCCACAGACTAGCCGCAGGGTCAGGAGCCGGGGGAGAGCAGAGCCTGCATGCTGGAGTTGCTGTTTATGCTGAAGAGGGAGCGGGGTTTCATTAGGCAGAGACAA